CACATTTCTGAGAAGCTTGAAGAACAAATTATGTCAGCATTTACAGGAATCGTGTTATCATGGAATATGATCAGTCTTACAACTCAGTACAGCTGGTGTCATCAGCATAGAGCTTATACCAACTAATAATCCGGAAGGACAAAGAGAATGGGAACCAGGACTGAACTCTGCGGTATCCCACAAGGCAAAGCTGTCCTTTCTGATATTATCTCTTCAATCACAGAAAGCAGCAGAATACTCCCCTTTGTTTCAACCGACTTCTTGCCACTAAAAGGCCAAACACATTTCATCCCTCACTTCGGGATAAACCTCGAATGACGCGAGTAGGAATAATTTACTCAGTACATTATACTTACAGGCCCAAAAATTAACATCTGGATGAAGTAAAGACTTGTAACATGTAAATCTGAAATGTCCAACAGACACACACAGACAGACTTCCTCTTTCTGTGGCATCGGACTGACCTTTCTCTGAGAATCCACAATCCTTCATGGCCTGGTCCCAGTCAAAGTGAGTGGGCAGTGGAAGTGATGACCCCTCACCCTGCAGAATAACTTGGCTGGACATCACCATGTGCCTACAGGAGGAAAGCCACCAAATCCACAATTCTAAAAAGTTCAAAAGTTGAAGCACAAGTTGGAAAAGTCCAATAGAAAGCAGTCCATTGGACTACTTTCATTGGACTGAAAGTAGTCCAGTGAAACCTGGTTTAATCCTGACCGAATTGGATTTGCTATAACCAGATAATACAGACAGGACTCTTGCGTTGGTGGTTCACTAACAAATATTGTCTATGTAGAAAGTTTAAAAATCCTGAGTCATGAAAATAAAGATAAAAATATAAAACATTAGCTTACCTCAGCTTACAAAAGCTCAGCATATGCTCCGACTTCAACGTTGAAAAAACCTTCTAATTTCTTCATAAACAACTCTACAAACTCCACACCAAGATTACAGGACAAGACAGACCAGAAGAAAAGTTCCTCTTTTCTTAAAGAATGCAGACTGATTGGTTTTGGTGATACTCTGGCACTGAGGAAGAGAGTCACGATGCTGTCCTTGCATGGGTGGTGGAGAAGGAGCGCAAAAACACAGGGGGTCACATCCACAAAAATGAGGCTGAGGGACAAAAATCTCACAGGGGATGTTGCATGTAAAAGCACATTTACATTCACTCTAATTACATACAGCCTGTGGTGTGCTCCTCTCCTCAGAAGCAAAGTAGGGATGCTTTGGAAAGTTCAAAGTTAAACATCAGTGTATTTAGAGAAGAATTTAAAGTAAGGACAGATAATCTTAAATTAAAGTATGAGGGTAAAAGTACAACATGAAAGCAGAGTCATTCAGCAGGCTGTTGTTCCCCCAGGCAGCTCCAGGCATCCCACACAGTTCTTCATAGTTCTGCCTTGTGACTGAGCGGATCTTCTCTTTAGTTCGTCCCTTTAACGTTTATCCCATGGCTTCCCACTCCAAACACAACAGAGGCAAACTTCTGAAAAAATTAAGCTCAAGTAAATTTTTTTTAGTCTAGCCAGGAATAATAAAAAAAAATGTGTGTATGAGGCGTTTTTTTTCTGCTAATAATAGGATTACAGCGTCACTTCTTTTAAAGTTTAAAACTCAAAACATGTAAACAGCAGAACAACAGGGGAGGCAGCTCACCTGGATTTGTGTCAGTTGACGTCCGTTGGAGGTTGGAGGTGAGGGCACGTGGGAGGAGCCAGCTGTTATTTCCCTAAACAGACACAGAAACACCACCTGCCATTCAAATACACATCTAAACCAAAGCATGTCTACAAAGCCCTCCATTTGCCTACGTTTGAATACACCAACGTAACGTCGGGACACCGTGATTCGCCGGGCTCCTCTGAACTACACACTCATCGGTTGATGAGAGTCAATAAAGTTTATCCTACAGATGTTTCAGGAAAAACACAACTGCAACTCTTCTGTGTTCATGTTATGCTGACACAGCCCGTGGTTAACCGAAAAGTCAAGCATTTACTGTAAATAATGAGGTAGCTGGACTGGTTTCATTCTGACCGAAATTGTTTTTTTCTTAGAGCAGAGAAACCCTGCCCCCTTGTGGCATCAATCTGTAAATGCAGCCTCTTGAAAAAAAGAAGTATCAGCGCCAGATAAGATATAATGGTCACCAAGCAGGGGAAGTATTTTTGATTTGCAAACTCATGGTGGTGTGAAAAGGTTCTCGTTTAGATGCATCAACTCTGAATTATCACAGGCAAGTTCAGTTCTTAATAATCTTTTTTCCCCCCTTCTCATTGAATGCATTAAAATGGAAAACTCACAGTTTTTTCAGTCTGTGATATAGGATTATCTAGCAGTATGTTCTTTAATGATGAGTTTTGAGTTGAGAAGAATCAAATGACGGGTTAGGGACATATGTCTTGATACAGCATCATACAGTGTTGTTCATACAGCTATGACTACAATCTCAGCTTGCTTGTTTACCTTAGTTTTATTTTATTAGAGACAAAATCTTGGTGTGCAAGAATTCGTTCAAGCTCTACAGCCTACAAGTTCACCCTTTTAATGAATAAAAATTAGGTGCACCGATTGCAGTTTTCTGGTTGGCCTGACCTGCTAATTCTGATTTTGGCCGATGCAAAAATTCAGATTTTTGTCTGAAAAGTCAAAGTTTCTAAGTTGGCAAGAGGGTGACTACTGTTAACTGCATGAATTCACACCTGACCTGGTGGGCAAAAGGGGACAGAGGATTACTTTTGGACTCTTGTGGAGGTAAATATGTTCAACCTGTAAGTATCGGCTGATCACTCAAACTTAAGGAAATCGGGGCCAATTTATTGGTGCACCCCCAAGTAAAAACGCTACTAGTTAGTGGGAAGTGAGGAAACACTTATGATGCAGAAACAAGAACTCTTGACCATCATGTTGAAGCATTAAAAGTTTCTTTCTCTGGAATTCCGGTGGAATGGTGCTTTACCATACTGGACTTAACTCTTTGCATTGCCTTGGTGATGTAAGGTCTGAGTACACCTGATTGGCTGTGGAAACTCATTCACAGTTAAAACCAGATGTTTACATACACCGAATAAAAACAGACATCCACCTGTTTTTTCTCACAGTCTGAAGTTAAGTTTGACCAAGCTTCTCTTGTTTCAGGTCAGTTGGAATTACTAAAATTATTTCTATTTGCTAAATGTCACAATGAAGCAAAAAGATTCCCTACTTTTTCTCTGTATTTTGTAATGTTACTTTTTAACTGAAGGACGAGGGTGAAACATGATGGACATCCTTCCATGAGCTTCTTTCAGAGTTTTACTGAAATTCTGACCCGTTCCGCCTGACAGAACTGTGAAACCAAGTCAAGTTCGATGTCGGTACAGAACATGTTTCACTGTGGATAATGACTCTGTCTTACCAGCTCCAGCCAGTGTATTCATGAGGTCTTAGGCTTTTCTTCTGGGTTCAATCTGCACATTTAATACCAAAACACATTTATCTCTTAGACACAGAACCTGTCTCCTTACTGACCGGTATGATGGTTGGATATTCCCATCATTTCTATACTTGCATATAATTGTTTGGACAGATGAAAGCACCACTTTCAAACATTTGGAAATTGTTCCTAAGGTTGAATCAGATGTGTGCAGGGCCACAACTTTGTGCATCATTCAGGTGATTGGCAATATATACAATATATATATACATATTCATTTGAAGATGTTTTTATAATTTTGACCATGCCTGGTAGATAGATCGCACATAGAATTGATACTGAACTCTGGTTTCTTTGAGGCAAAATGCAAAGAAAAGAGGGATTCCTCAAGACTGTGCTGTAAAATAGGCTTCAATAGACATACCAGTCAGATGGTGCTGGGTAAATAATAAAGGGGTGGATCTGGGTCACATACTTATTTATCTCAACAAATCTGTGAACATACAGGTATCAACACAGCTGACAGCCACATGAACAGTCAGATGTTTCATCATAACCCACTACGGACTGCTACAAGTAGTTCATCAGGTAGGTGTTAAGCCAAAAAAAAACAGTTTACCATTACAAGGCTCTTGTAATAATAATAACAATCAAAAATGACTGTTGGTCCTTTGTTTGGCTGCGTCATTAAGACATGAATGTTTCTAAGGGCAATAGATCCACAAACAGTGAGGTGGCTGGGATATGGGGCAGAATGGGAAACATTCACCCTATATGTACCAGACCCGCCTGACCAGGGAGTGTAGAGGAATTGAGCTGTCTTGATGAGCTCCAACAATTATTTGCTTTTCTGTTTTCCTATTTTACGTGTTTGTCCCTGAAATGATAGCAGGATCAGATGTTCAGGCAAAATATTAGGAGATTCACTGTTTGAAATTTATGGAAACTGTTCTCTATCAAATCAGCCGAGTTTTGGTAAACATTAAGAAATTATAGACACATTGTATGTTTATGTTTACTTTCCAAAGTATACACAGTGCACTGGTTGGCAGAAACCAGGAGGTGACTTTGAAACCAGCAGCATTCCACTGAGGTGACACATTCCATGTAACCAAAGCCAGGTTAGGCCATCAGGAATTAGTGCACTATGATCCATGGTCCCACCTACCACTCAGGATCCCAACATTCCTCTCTGCAGGTGGTAGGCCCACTTGAATAAATGAATGTCCATAAAACTTGAGAAACATATTTGCATTTTACATTATGTAATGTTGTGGCATAATTTGGGTTTTAAAATACCAGAATAATTACAGCTTTATATATTTGTCTGTCAGCATTATATTTTAAAATATTACATCAGATACTTTTGTGCTCTTACTTGAGTAATTACGGGACTTTTCACCTTTTCACCTTTACTTGAGTAAAAATATGATGCTACTCTTCCTTTAGTACACCTTTTCGCTACTCTACCCAGCTCTCTGTCTGTTGGTCATTTGTATTACTAATTTCTTTCTCTTCTTCCTCCTTTTCCCAGCACAACATCTGCTGCTATTGGCCACCTTCACCGCACCTGTTCGACCCTCGAGCCAATCACGCGCTTCGACCGTTGCTCCCCAAGATGGCGGCTTCCAGTGAGCGGCTTTGCTCATCCTCGCAGCAGAACGATAGATATCACCTTATCTCCGGATCATTTGAACTCTCCACAGAGAGCTGAGCGGGGCTGCGCTGTGAAACACGGAAGCCGTCCCTTCCCCTTTGCCCTATTGCGCTTTCATGGTACGCGGAGCCGGGCTCGGTGTTGGGCTGAAGGGGGTTGTGCTATCCGAGTATGGCCACCGACAACAGGATCAATTTCTGGAGGAGAAACACTAAGGTTCCCGGAAGGTTGGTTGTCTCATTCTTATCAAAACATAGCTGCCTTCCAGTGCTAACTTTTCGGCCGGACTATTGTAGCCAGGAAAATCTACAGGAAAGTCGTGTTTGGCGCACAATGAGAGAAGCTCAATATGTGTGGGAACAGAATCCTTGGCTGACATTAAACGGTTGACGTAACTGCCTGAAGTAATTATAGTTAAATGCGCAAATTATTCTCGTTTCTAGTCAATCTGCTGTAGCACGTCAGAGAGGTTTCATTTGATTGTGCTGTCAGCTAAAAGATGACTGAGCTCCATCACTTTATTCTCTGCGGTTTGTGTTAAAGTGGGGGTGTCATCTGTCACCATCCGCCCGCCGTATGCTTCCTGGGTCTGTGCTGACAGCTGCTGCAACACAATGGACTCCATTCACCCTCATTTATAAATGCCGCTTTAAACTGGAGTTCAGCGAGCCTCCATTTAGGGTCATGAAGTGAAATAACGCTTTAAGCTCTTTTTTAACCCCCTCCCCCCAATTATCATTACGAGTTATAGCTTTGTGTGTAAGTGATTTCTTTGTAGAAACAAACACAGCAGACGATGGGCATTTAAAACATTTAGTCACAGGCTGATTTAGCCACATGCCGATTGCCAGCATCAATACTAAGTTTTAAAAAGTTACAGTTTAAAAATTGCAACAAATTTCCTTTATACTGTTGTGATTTTGTGTCCCTCCATAAATGTTGCTATGCACTGCTTGTCAGCTGGCTGAAAGAAGGCTCCTACACTGTCTGTCAGCCACCACAAATTGTTTGCCAGACTCTAAAATCTTTTCACTATTAGTGAGAAGAAACGTGTTGGTAAAAAAAAATAAATAAATAGCTAAAAATTAATTTAATTCTAAATCTGCCAATTTGACCCCAGCTTTATGGCAAGAATAAATATTTCTGCATAGTTTTTCCTCAATAAACCTCTTCCAAAAGTATATTATCGTGAGTTACACAAAATAATTTCTTCCCACGCTTGCATATGATGGTAAACGTTTGACAAGTAAGGCTGAGGCAGAAGTGTGGCAAGAAGTAAGAAATATTGTCACAGGTGGGAGTTAGGATCACTTTAAACTCATGTTTTTGCTAATGAATTCTCAAATTCTCAAAATTACTTACAATGTTGCAGTAGCATGAAAATACGTAGGGATTTGCTGATTTTGCGTGAATTTCCACGATTGCAGAAATCAAGAACAACTGGAGGGACTGGATTTTACTATAGTAAAGATAATTGTGTGATTTTTGTTAGAGATATTTGGGTATAAACGAATGGAATCAATTTATATTTTAACCAGGGGTGCAACAATTGCAGTTTTCTGGCCAAGTACCGATCTTTACAAAGTATGACTTGCTGACTCCAATTTTGGTTAAAACCAATTCTTTTTTTTGTCTGAAATGTTGCTGAATTGGTAACAGTGGAGTCGTTATTAGTAACTGCAGATATGCAGACATGACCCGGTGGGCAGGTCCGTCAGTGAGACCGCTCTCACAGCAGAGCAAAAGAGGACGGTGGGTTTGGGTTTTTTTTTTTTTTGGTTTTTTTTTATCAGGTAGATAAGATTGGAGGAAAAGTTTGGCTTCACATGGAAGTATCGGCTGATCTCCCAACATTAGGGAAATCAATGCCAATAAACCGGCCGGCCGATCGGTTCACCATTTATTTAAACAAAAATATGTATGTACATAAAATTGTGAAACTTAAATTACCTGGTTTTTACTTAAAAAAAAAAATCAAAGAATTATTCAAAATATAAATGGATGTGCGTCCGATTCGTTGCTGCGTTTTTCATTTGTCATCTCAAATATAAGCCTTACAGTTGGAACCAGCAAACATCACAACCACCCACTAAGGTTCTACCTGCAGTTCCTCTGGCACACGCAGCAATCAGGACTCATTGGACCTCGTTAAGAAGAGCTGAGCTGTGTGTTTCACCTACATTGAGCTGCATGTTTTTATGACTGACTGATGAGCTGATGTGTTGGTTTCAACTGTCAGAGGGCGGGGCAGGAAGAAAACGGGAGCCGAGTCTGTTTGGGAAACCCGAGAGGAGAAGATCACCAAGGAGAGGGCGTGACTCTCTCTCTGTGTCCCACAGACGGATCTAACCATGGAGGTTGGACACCAACAGATGTTTGAACAGGAAGACTGGGGGGTTTGCGCTCGCTCCCTGTCCTCGCTGCTGCTGCTGATAAAGTCAGCGTGACAGTTGTAAACAACAGACTCTGGCACTGCCAGATAACCAGCAGCTCCAGTTCCCAGCCACAAGGCTTACTGTAAGCTATTCCAATAAAACGCTGCCAGTCAGATCAGTCTTTCGTGGTCATGTTGTTGTTTTCTAGCAGAAGGGATAATTGTGTTTTTATACCTTGTTATGTCCCCTACAGGGTTTGTGGCAAACTGCAACAAGACTTCCTGTGATTTTCATTTCATAATTTTATTTAGCCAGGTTTAGTCCAGAGCCAGACCCATTTTTATATTAATTTAACATAAAAGTGATAAAACATGGTTGTTGAAGAATGAGTACTTTGTATTGTACATTTCATTTTTAGAAGACTTTAATACGTATGCATCTTTTTTTGGAATTTGATTAAAATTCTTTAGATTTTTTTTAACCTCCTACCTTGAGCTGGGAAACCAAGTTTATGCCAGTTTTGTGTTGCGATCGAGGGTTGCCCAGAATCACTACAAGGGCGGCAAATATCCCCCAAGCCAGATTTTGGACACCCTTGATTTAAGAGTCGTGGAGAGTTTTATAAGGCACTACGGGGTTAAAGAGGGGGGCCACATTTCTTTGGATTTCTTTGAAGAAACAAAGGAAGAAGTGGGAATTGTGACTTTTCCTTGTTTGCTCCCGGTTGCCAGAGAGTTGGAAGGGAAATAGAAAGCTGAGCTTTAAGTTTGTGCTGTCTGTGGAACATACTGCCCACCACAGGGAGGGGAACAACATGGCCGCGCTGCAAGCTGTCGGCTACTTCTGTTTACTGCAGAACTACAGTCTGACTCAGAGGAAAGAGTGGTCAACAAAAATACTGAAACTAAACAAACATTATTTTACACAACACTTTCTGGCTTTGAACCTGTCACTCAAAATTAAAAATACCTTCAGAGGAATATCCCAAGCGTCAAAAAAATATCATCACATATATGTAGAAAAATGAAATAAGACAGAAGCATGTAGGCCAGAGCTTCCTAAAGTTTTCAGCTTCTGAGTCACAAAATGAAAACAGGAGAGTTCAGTGACCCTGACTCCTGGTTGCTATGTAAACACTCTTACGAAGTTACCGTAGTTAAAAAGTGCTACAATGAGAAAACAATCGGGGCCAACAGCCAGTATGTTGGTCAGTAGGAAGTTTCTATTTATACTGTTGTGCTTTTTTTATCTTTTTCAACATTTATAGAAAACAAATTGTCATTTTTGTCATTGAAGATGGTTTTTGAAGAAGACCTCCGACTTCGATATTACACCCGACAGCAGATGGGGTCTCAAACCCAACTGTGGAAACCGCTGATGTTGGCTCTTCTTCCCAACTTTGTTCGCTTCCTGATTTAATTCTCACATATGAGTGGGAAAAGCAAATATATATTTAGAACATAGAATATATTTAGAACAATTGAGATAATAAATGAGCTTTTGGGGGGGGGAATAAAAGCCATGAAGGACAGTTTGTGCCACCGCCAGCATTCTTCTGAGCAATCATTAAACGATGGATGTGAACACTTACCCTCAGGTTAGCTACAAGTGTTTTTCCACGTCGAGGTGACTGCATTTTTACATTATCATCCACAGCGTGCAGCCAGTTTATGGAGCACAGCATCCACCTCTCGATCCCCGTTTGCGACGCACGTAAGTGCTCAGTGCACGCCTGGGCTGCTGCATGCCACGTGGACACCTTTAATTTGCCCTTTTTACTGGTCTTTGCAGTCGTTCCATGTTTTGAGTACATTTGTGTACTGCATGCTGTGAAACCGTGACCCAATTACTACATTTTGCTTTAGTTCTGCTTTTGGAACCGGTATTTCATGTTTCTTTTTCTTTATTGCATTATTTTGAAATACATCAGTTAGGTTTTTTTTTCTTAATTCAGATCTGTTATTTTCTTTTTTCTTTCTTTTTTTTTAAATACTCCAAGGGAAAAATAAAGATTAGAGCCAACTCCAAATTCTCTTTAATGTCAATGATTAAGCAGAGTGCAGAATATTTCTTTTTAGGCTTTCAGCCATGAGCTGTTATGGTAATAATATTACGGGAATACGTCGTAATAGTACGTGGGAAAAGTTGGAATAATTGGAGAATAAAGTCATAACATGACCAGAATAAGGTCATAATAATACGAGAAGTCATACAACAATAAAGTCAAATTAATGAGAATAAATTCATGTAATCAGAAAGTCATAATACTAGAAGAATGAAGTAGTAATTTTATGATCACTCCTTCATGAAAGATGAGAGATTAAAATGAAGAGCATGTTATGAAGTAGTACTTTGGTTTCGGTTTTACAAATAGGACATACTTAATCTTTTAACACATCAGCATCAAATTATTATCTGCAGGAATTTGAAAGGATTGAGCAACGACTGAGTCTATTCTAAGTGAACCACAGACTCGACGATCTGGTCACATTACAGCTCGATGACTATAAAAGCTTTGCTCTTGTTAAAACAACTGTTTTTCTTGTGCTTTGCCGACTTTCATCTGGTAATATTTTACCTTTATTTTACTAATATTAGGACTTTTGTGTCATAAATAAAATCACTTTAATCTCATAATTTAGAAAAAAAAAAACTTTTAGTCTGGCCCTAGTATGTACTTGTAGTGTCTTTGCCAAGAGGGTTTTTTTTTTGATTATTTTTTTAGATTCCAGTCAGTCAATAACTAAACAGGGCTGGTAAGCCAAAAAGATGGTCTGATTTTCCCCTCACCAGCTGATTCCTTGGTTCATTAGACATTATTCCAAAATTTAGTATAAATCAAAATTGAAATGAAATGAAATGAAATGAAATTTTATTCGAACATGATACAAATACAAATATAAAAATAAAATAGTGCCCAGTAACAAGAAGTGCATAAAAAAGAAGAGAAAATACAGATTTTTTGTTTCAGTTAACATATCATGCTCAAAATGGGGTAGGAAGAAGTGAGAACTTATAAACTCCTACCCCCTAAACACAAATTCATCCATCAATGGGATCTACCAGGTCTTACATCGTTTTTTCATTTCCTGTTTGTTCATTATTCCAACCTGCAGGTACCCAAAAGACACAAAGCCAAAATTCAACAACCTTAAGTCTAAAAAAGCTTGCAGCTTCCACGAATTTGCTTGCAGCACAAACGATGCTTGGGACATTGACGATGAGGAGGATGACAACTTCTGCGGGACACCCTTCTCAGCTTCCTTTACGCCTTCAGGCCAGGACTTGACGTCTGTGCACAACCAGGTATCCACAAGTTCTCCTGTTTCTCACTGAAAAACTGCAGGCTGGTCTGGAACGGTGAGAGATTCTCATCCAGGTGTGTTTTGTTTGTTTCTGCGTCCACTTAGCAACTGCGGCATCAGACGGGTGAAACGGAGCCTGTGTTGCCTCACATACTGACTCCACCCAGGGACGAGGGTCACAACTCCCAAAGGGATGACGGCTCAGAGTGTGAGCGTGTCAACGGCAAATTTGTGAAGTCTAGTAGTGACGCAGATCTCAACACGACCTCAGGTGCGTTGTAAATATCGTGCAGCAATTCATTCTGCTTAAAGAGTTCCTCAGATGCCTCTGCTGTGATTCATGCTGAAGCTAATTATGGACTTTGTTAGAAGGGACTTAACACTGCAGGTAGGTCTGTAGAGATTATGGGGACTTAAATATATACCTGACACGACGCGTCCCAGTCCACAGACACAACCACTAAATACCGGAGGTGTTTGAGGAGTTTTCTTTTGCTGCTGGTATGCTGTTAATCATTGGAAATGTTCTCTGACAAAAAAAAGAAAGTCCAAATTGATTTACAAAACTGGGTAACAAATCAGATTTTTAGTGACTTGGAGTCTAAATATAAAAGCTTACCCAAGACAAATATGTCTTATATGGGTATAAGCTTTTATACCCAAGACAAATATGTCTTGGGTAAGACATAAATAACAAAGCATCTTTCAAAAAGTATGAAGGAATCAATCAGTTAATTCCAATAAATAAACTTTCAGCTGAATAAAGTTCGACATCTATGTTGACGTTTTGGCTGTTATTTCTTCTTGGACATTTATATTCATGCTCTTATTTTCAAGTGGGTGCAGCAGTTCAGTTTCCTTTCCTCTTGTTCTCTCTTTTCTTTTCCTCTAATAACTTTATTTCAAACAAGAAATAAATATAAAATAAAGTCATGTCAAAATAATGTCAACAGTGCGTTAGCAGGAGCTTCTGCTAAATACCATGTTGGTGTACCGCTTAATGTTGGCAAAACTAATTTTTTAAGTAGTAGTGCCAACCCCTGCTGAGACACATGGCTGCATATGACCTTATAGAGCGCTATAGGTGTGAATGATCTCCATTGTTCGTGATGTTTTAGCCTTGATCTCTGAATTATTGACTGATCTCCCACATACACAGGTTTCAACTGCAGTACCTGAGTGTTTGGTGATTGTAGACAGGAAACCACTCCAACACCTTCCCAGATGACAATATGTCACCAAACCCAACGGAGCCATTTCAAAATTTGATCCTGAACACATCTTAGCACAGATGTTGTGTTAAAATAGATTAAAGTTTGTGTTTTTCTTGAGCATGAATATAAAGGTGAGAGTATAAGAGCTGGGAATACTTTTCCAAGGTACTGTATGTCGTACTGTGTAAATGTTTCTATGAAGGTATGTACTTTTTTTCCCCTCTGCTTTGAAATGTACATCAATAGAATATGTGGATTGAAACTTTTTGCACAGTAGTGTGTTAGTGTTGTGACCTGCAGGCACATTGTGGGTTGCTGGGTGAATATCTTGAATAATGCACAGCTTCACGTTGAGGAGCATCTGCCACATGAATAGTTATGTGCTGTTCACCGAACACCTGGACCTCTGCTCAGACGTCACCTGGATGCTGAATATTCAGGCTCTTGCGAATTAATCCTTTGATCTTATTTTAAGTCATAAAACCAAAACACAGTGGTTGTTCAGTTACTGTGTTCTTTTATCTGAAGAGAATTTTACCGATATTCATTTTTGTTTGTTTGTTTGTTTGTTTTCTTTCCTCAGTCCGCTCCTCACTGCAGAAGCAGCAGTCTCTCCCAGTGCGTCCCATCATCCCTCTGGTGGCTCGTATCTCGGATCAGAACGCGTCAGGGGCTCCACCCATGACGGTGCGGGAGAAAAGCCGGCTGGATAAATTCAAGCAGCTGCTGGCCAGTCCCAACACTGACCTAGGTACTGTTGAAGAGGGAAAGACGTTTGCGTGCCGCCTTACTCAGCTCCACATGCTCAGCGATGCCCCATCTGTTCTGTAAAGCCTGTCCAGAAATCACACATGGTGTTTTTGTTCCACCCAAATAAGAAAATACAGTCGGATAAACTTCACAAGCGTTATTGTGTAATATTGAGGTTTTGATTCGTTGGAAATATACATTTTATTCTGTTGTTTTGAGGAGTGCACTGTTAAATTGGTGCCAGGTTCCTTAATTTTGGGAGATCAGCCGATACTTACTGATCTTACCTACCTTCACAAATGTCTAAAAATCAACCACTGTCCTCTTTTGCTCTGCCGTGAGAGCTGTTTGACTGACCGACCCACCCAACAGGTCAAGTCTGAATGTTTGCAGTTAACAATAATCACCCCACTATTGCCAACTCAGCAACTTTCTTACTATATTTTGTAAAATTTCAGACAAAAAAAATCAATACTAGGCAAAATTGGAATTGATAGGTTATGATTTTTTAAAGATCTGTAATTGGCGATCGGCCAGAAAACTGCAATCAGTGCACCCTTACTGTTTTTAATGTGGTTTATAATTTTTTTTAAGACAGGTAAACACTCAACTAAAATATAATTATGTTTACCATAACTTTGCACTATGGAAAATATCATCCATCCAGTGGATCAGTCGTTGGATTTATTTGTGGTCGTTAAATGGCCTCTTAGAAGCTCCCAGAATGCTGCTGTTCCCAGTCTGAGTGGAACCTTCAGTGACTGCAGGTCAGGAGCTTCACACTAAATACATCTTGAACTCTGACAATTATTGCAAAACTTTGTAATCTCTCCTCCAGATAGACCCTAAAGTTGAATCAAACGGGAAGATAAAAGTTCCACATATCATCCAGCGTCTGTGAGGAAAACTTTAATAAGTCCTTAATGAAAATTGTTCAAGAAAAGGAATTGAATATAGCTCCCTCTGACCTGCAGCCAGCTGAAGCAGCCGCTCTCTGGACTTAATGTGAAACCGAGCTTTGATCTGATTGGCCTGTTTTGCTTTCTGCCATCACAGAAGAACTGCGGAAGCACAGCTGGTCGGGAATACCAAGAGAAGTCCGACCAATCACGTGGAGGCTTCTCTCTGTAAGGCTTACGACCTTCAGTTTTGCAACATCACATAACTCACAATTCAGCACTTAGAGCTTCATTTTTTGTTTAGTTTGTTTATCCATTCCTGTTCGTTTGGTGTTAGCAGCTGTGCGTTTCAGCGGCAGCCTTATCTTCCCTCTGCTCTTATCTCCCTCGGCCAGCTTGTTCTGTTCCCCGGAAAGAAAAGTTTCTTTTCTGTTCTCGCTCCTCTCAGGGTTACCTGCCGGCCAACAAGGAGCGCAGAGAGCTGGTCCTGAAGAGAAAGAGAGAGGAGTATTTTGGGTTCATAGAGCAATACTATCACTCCAGAACAGATGAGCACTATAAAGACACATACAGACAGGTAAAGATCTCATCTGTGTGGTGTGGAAGCATTATGTTATCGCTTCAAATGAATTAGAAAAGCTGAGATTATCTACCGTCGCCTAAGTTTCATTATTTGTTCCTGGCAGATCCACATTGACATTCCAAGAACCAACCCGCTCATCCCTTTGTTCCAGCAGCCTGCAGTCCAAGAGGTGAGGTCCAGTAGAAATCCAGTGGCCAGAGAGTTTAAGGTCCAGCTCTACATCAGTGGTACTACAGGACAAAAACTCTCCTGGCTCTGCTACCTGAAAAAGATAAAGGCTTAAAAAAAAGTTTCATTTCAGTTTAACAAAACTACATCTACACAATTTACTTATATGTTCTATAATAAGTTGGTGGTTTCATTTTTTTTTCTACATTTACATGTGTTTGTGACATTTTGTCAAGAAAATGTAAATGTATGCATGTGTATTCTGAATATATTCAGCTTTTACAGCTGAAAAGTAAATCTATATATACTGTATATAAAAATTAAAATACCTTTATTTTGTATTATAGACATTTTTAAACTAACTCATTTCAAACTCAGTCCAACTTTATAACAATTGAATCTGTACTGCAGATTTACAGTAAATGTTCATGAACTTAGAGCCTGGATAACTGTAGAGCTCTGAAAGCTTTCTGAGTAAACCGAGGACACAACTAATTCACTTTGCAGCAGTTTCTTTGCTCCTCTTAGGAATGTAACACATAATACATATTTGATGAAGACTTTTAACATTGGTCATTTTTGTCTTGCTTGCTTTCACAATCGTACTCATCAGACTGGAAGTATCAGCTTCACACATCAAAAATCAATAACACTTCAAATTACCAGATGACAAGACCTAATACTACTAAAAAACATTATAACTGGGGGAAGTTGGTGAAATATTGTGTTGCTGAGTCACTGAGGAGAAAAAGAGGAAGTTCACTTTGAGACGAAGCTTGACTGAGCTTATTCTGTTCCTCAAATCTCATTTTATGAAGCTACAATCAAAAATTGTAAAGATTTGTACAAAACTTTGTAGATAGTGAGTCTAAATTTGACTGTTTGAACAGTCAAATTTAGACTCTGGTTGAATGTTTGGGATGTAGCAACAAACTCAGCCCTGAGAAACGGCTACAAAATTGCAACAGCAAAGTGAAAACAGGACACAGGATTCTGTTCTGCACAGCATGTTGTTCCTTTAAAACAGAGTTTTGTCATTTTGTCTTCAGGTATTTGAGCGGATTCTGTTTATCTGGGCCATCCGTCATCCAGCCAGCGGATACGTCCAAGGCATCAATGACTTGGTCACACCTTTTTTTGTCGTCTTCTTGTCCGAGTTTGTCAGTAAGTTCATTTATGCTCATGAGAATAATATGTTTTTTAAAATACAGAGATGCCCTGATCTGAGTGATGAATTTTCTGTTTTTGCAAAACTTCGATTTGCATGTCTGGACTTTAGATGCTTCTAGTTTCTCTTGTATTTAGGGTGTCGAAGTTTCTCCTTGTACATTGCTGGCCTCATTCTACAAAAGCTTTTTTTTTTTTTCTTTTGCAAAAATTTGATCCATTTTGATCTGAAATCTGAAAACAGAAATAGCTTTGACTTTATATACTTAGTTTTCCAAAATATGTTCAATTTAGTCCATCTATATAAATAAAAGTCCTCTTCAGTCTCCTGCCTTCTCTTTAGTTAATGTGTGTCTTATTTACTTTTCAAAATATGTTTCATTTAATACGTTTATATAAAATGTATCTCTTTTTCAAGGCAAATTGCATTTTGGCTCTCGAGAGAGATTTAATCCTGAGATGTCCAAAATGCTTAAACGTTCCCAAAGTCAGCATGCTCTGCCCGAAAGCTCAAGCTGATAAAAGCGCACTTCCTAACTCTTCACGTTATCAGCTAAAAGTGTTGCTCGAATGACCTGTGCCCATGCAGTCGCAGGAACATGAAGGCTGAACGCCAAAACACAGACAGTCATTACTTCAGGGAAGTTGGAAGAAATAAAAATGAACAAACATCCTGATCATTATGGAAGTTTTTTTTAATATGATAAGTACTTTGGTATTCAGTTCAACTCCAAAGCATTTTGAAAAGGGAGATTTTCCTTTTTATGCTAAAAACAACATTCAGTGTTTGAGTTCTTCAAAGAAATGAGGGGAAACAATTATTTAACACCTTGTAAATAAATGTTCTGTTGACCACAGCAGTCTGTTATATTTCTGAAACTGGATTGTTTTCATTCGCACAATAATTGTGCTGATTTAAATGCAGTTAAAATGGAAGAAAAAAAAAAAAGGAAATCAGAATAATGAAATTGGAATATGAAAGCATGAAATGGAATTTTGAAAAGCATAAAATAGATTTTATAGGGTCCAGTTTAAATAAACAATAAGGGCTGTAACGATTCCTCAAATGATTCTACTACCTCGATTATTAAAATTCCTTGAGGAAAATTGATCTGCCTCGAAGCTTCGTTAAATTATCTTCTATTATTTAGTGCGCCGTGTTCCGACCGGGTCGTTGTTTGTGTTGGGCGGCGCCGTCGCTTCCGCCTACGAGTCGTCGCTAAGTGCCAGCAGCATGACGTAGACTTTTCCGGCGTTTCATCGGGTTTTGGGGGACCAATAAGCACTGTTGAATTGTCAAGCTGAAAATGAGCTGATTCCTTTTACAATCTTGCTACTGTACAAGAAATCTTTTCATTTTTTTCGTTCTCATCCTAGCGGAAGATGTGGAGAACTTTGACGTGGCGGCTCTGCCTCTGGAGACCCAAAGGAACATCGAGGCCGACAGCTTCTGGTGCATGAGCAAGCTGCTGGACGGCATACAGGTGAGGACGCACGCTGGGCTCTCAGGCTGCAGGTCGTCTGTCTGTGTTCCTGTCAAATAACATGGCCCACCTTCCAGGACAACTACACCTTCGCCCAGCCTGGAATCCAGAACAAGGTGAAGGCGCTGGAGGAGCTGGTCAGCCGGATAGATGGTGAGGAGATGAGCGAATTGTTCAGTCCAACAGAAATCATGAGAAATCTTTTTTTTTTAAATTGTTTATTGTCTGTCTTCAGTGGATATTCACAATCATTTCAAGAAATACGAGGTGGAGTACCTGCAGTTTGCGTTTCGATGGATGAACAACCTGCTGATGAGGGAGCTGCCACTTCGTTGTACCATTCGTCTGTGGGACACCTACCAGGTGGAGTTCTCTCCTTCAGATATTTAGATATTCAGGTCTTCCTCACGGTATTCCTCACAGTATTCCTCACCGTGCTCATGCACGAAGGAAATCTGTGCCAGCAGTGATTAGGGAAGCAGCGATCCACTATTTTCACTACCGATGCAGATATTGATATTGGATGGATGCATCTCTAGTGGTGATGGAGGCGTAGACTCCCCGTCCGTTGGGTTTTACTCGTCTTCCTGCTTCAGAGCAGTTCATTTATAGAACAATCACAGAACCTGTTAACACGGTGAGGAACATTTTTAGATTTGGTCACGGTCACATCAGTGACGGGCAGGCCTGTCGGTCAGGACAGGAAAACTCTGATCTAGAACATGCAGAAATCCAATCAGTGTTAGAGCTGCCTCCTCTGCTCTAACCAACTGAGGATTTCACACTAATGGTCTTAAGACATGAAATGTGTGCCCCAGCCTTGGACATGCTCCTGGACAGTCACTGATCTGGTGTTGGTAGAAAACTAATAAACTGGAAAAAAAATAAATAAATAATGAAATCCAACTGAAAATGATCTGGTACATTTCTCAGCTCCTATCAGCTTCTTGCTCTTGACGTCATATTAATCTTTTTCTTTTTTCTTGATAAAGTGTTAGGCCAACCAATTAAAAGTCTTGGCATAGCTCTGCCCCAGTGAATGGACCTTCATGGAGCTTACAGATAAGCAAACACGCCTAATTTTTATTTTTAGCTGAGCTGAGCCTCAGCTTTCCATTTAGAGATCTAGTTTTCACTCCAGCCTTTAAGAGGGTGATGATTCGCTGGTTTACACACGATCTGCTTAGAGGGAAAACGAAGAAAAGAACTATAAAGAAAAAATGCTATTATTTCTCACCCATATACCAAATTAGTTTTTGTGATTATGGTTCCTAAGAGGTAAATGTTCTTCTGTTTCTACTCATTATCCAGTTTTTTTTCCCCCCTCTCTATCTGCTATGGGTTTGGCACCGGCCTTTGTATTGGAGTGTTGCTATCTTTGTAGACACACACTCACGTCTGGGATCTGCATCAGATGAGCCTGGCAGCCGATTGGACAGGGATGTTTGTCTCTTTGCCTGATGATTCCGATTTGCCTCATATTGTGAATAAACATATGCACAACCGGACCGACTAGTTAAACCCAAACACTTTTGGTTCTGAGGTGGAAAATCAGCTGATTAAAATGGAGACCTCATTCGCACAACTTTTGGCCTTGAATGAACTGATTGCATTCGGATAGCAATGAATACATTCTGTACACTGCTGTTCAGCTGGCTGAAAGAAGGCTGCTGCATGTTGTTAGAAATGCACTGATCCCAATAATATCTATATCGGTCCCAAACTTGTTCTAGAACTACAGCTGATAAACTGTATGGAATAAATCCAACTCGATCTTTGTTGTTTTAAATCATGTGTATCCTAGAAGACTTTATTTTACTCCACTTTATATGAATATCAGTCTATCCTGCAGCTCACTTTGTCCTGGTTTAAACCAAAGCCAATGAAGGAGTGAACTCAAACACTGCATTTCAGAGATGGGGTTAATTTTTTCCATAGCTAATATTTGATAGTCTGACAGAACTCAGTATACAGTACTGCATACTCACTTTTCTATGGGAGAGATTCTTTGAGAATTACTCATTGCATAAAGTGATTATTCAAAGACAAATGTTTTTGGTCCTTTGTTCACCGAAGGACCTTAAGTCTGTAATTCCTCCCGATTTATCTCCAGGTGTTGCAGCAAAGACTTCTGGGTAAAGGTGTGTTGTAACAATCTGCTGTGTTTGTACTTTCCACAGGCTGAAGCTGAAGGTTTCTCCCACTTCCACCTGTATGTGTGTGCTGCATTTCTCATCGAGTGGCGCAAAGAAATCCTCTGCATGGTTGACTTTCAGGTATTGATGGGAGTCTTTGATTTTATTTAACGACGATGCAAAAAACAGATGATTTAAAAGAAATTATTTGAAGAAACTTTCCTCATATTTATTTTTGAAAAGACTCTTGAAAAACGAGAAATGGTAAAACATCCTGTTACTCTAACGTCTCTGAACTTGCTAGTCAGCTAATAGCTTGCTAGCATAGAGTGATTATTCAAAGATCTGCTATGAAATTCACTTCTAAGTTCCGCCTATTACATTCCTCAAACTTTGGTTCTAATTCTAATAATTATGTATTGATATTTGGTAATCTATTTTAAAACGACCATCATCCATCTCACTGTGTTAAAAAATAATTTTATCCCCCACCAAGGTCCAAGTGTTTGTTCCATCTTCTGACACCGAACCAGTGCTCCTTTAACATCTGTGTTTCCATTAACCATCGAATTGCAAAAATTGAAAGTGCGAAAATAAATTTGCTGGATGGAAACACACCAGTTTAGAAAAAGTTTTTAAGCTGGGATAAAGTTTGTTTTTTTGTTTTGTTTTGTTTTATACGTATCAAAATAGATTTATTTTGCAAAACTGTAATGGAAATACTTTTATACATCTCAAGTAGCTGTTTAAAAATCATGGCAGCAACAGATGTAATGACGTTTATCATGAACAAACTCACGTGTGATTATAATTTAATTTCTTATTTAATGGAAAAACACAATTGTAAAATTTACTTTTTTCAACATGGGCGGCATATCAAAGTTTTGCACACATTTGTAATGGAAACGCAAAGATCCGTCACAAATCCATGCTGCACAGACGTACATGCATCTCTGCTCTAAGCACCAGTAAGTTGTTTACGACGACTTCATTTATTCGGCTTAATATTTTGTTGTTGAGGCTCATCCACGTACGGCTGCACATCCTCATATTTCCTGACAAGAAGATTACGTTCTTTATTTCCCGTCTGTCTGCATATAAATCTTTAATTTACACGATTAAAGATTTATAAATTCTTGCCAACTTTATCACAAAGACGCATGTTGGGTCGACAGGGCGTCTTCTCCACGCTGCATTTCCCTCCATATGTCAGCACATAATTTGTCTCTTTCCTTCAGAGCCTCCTGATGCTTCTACAGAACCTCCCAACCATCCACTGGGGAAATGAGGAAGTGGGTCTCCTCCTGGCCGAAGCCTACAGACTCAAGTACATGTTTGCGGACGCCCCCAACCATTACAAGAGATAGGCAACGAATCAAACGCGCCTGTGACTGCGAGGACCTGAGCAGTATTTTTGGTGCAACCCTGATCAGACCGACGGTGGGATAAACTTAACTTTATGCTGTGAAGATGAAGTTTGCAGAGTCTCGCTGTGATTTTCGGATTTTTGAGCGGAGCCATGAAGCTCCGGCGAATTTCCTGGACTACATGCAGTAGACGACGTGCTGTACTGCATCAGCAGACTGTTACAGTATATCAACCACATGTATTTAGTTTTTCCTCCTCAGAAAAACATGCTGGCATTTTAAAGGATGGTGAATGTTTGTGAAATCCTCCTTTTAAGTGGCATCTGCAGATTCTATTTTATATTTGTTTTTCTAAAACAAAAGGAACACTGTAAGAACCAAGCAACTACTGTTTGTTTTCCCCCTCATTTTAAGCTTAAAGTCAGACACTGTTCTAAATAGGAAGCACAACGAAGACCCCGACTCCCCTCCCCTCCGACTAAATCTGCTGGGAACAATCAGCCTTTTAAATCCTGGGTTTGGACTGAATTACCTTCCCGTTTTTACATTGTAGAAGAAATGTCTGAGTTTCATTTCATGTTTTAGTTTGCTTAGGTAAAAGCTGAAAACCCAGCTCCTTTCCTGGCTGTGAATCACTTTGATCAACTTCTAGAGGGTTCAGCTTCCCTTTTCAGTGTATAAAATTATATTTAAGGTATAATTACCTTAATAATACCTTAACTAAAGGTTAAGGTATGTTAAATAATACCTTAACTTTTAGTTAGACTTTTAGTTAGTCACCTCAACTAAAAGTACAACTTTTAGTTAAGGTGACTTTTAAATTAACCCAACTTAGTGGTTGTGAATAAAGCATAATGCGACGTTTTACCCAATTTTAGTTTCAAAAAAAACGAAATGCGTCGACTCTTCTTGATGCCACTGAGTTATAACTCCTGCAGACCAATATGGAATCACTTTTGTTGCATGGTGGTCATTCATTTTTAATCTGTAGCCAGAAAATTAATTCAAATGTGACAGAAAAACTGAACATTTTTTGCTTTGGGAAACATGGCTGAGTGAAATTGTTGTAATTATCGGCACTTCTTCTTTTCAGCTCTAGTAGAGGGAACTCGTGGAATCCTGAATCAAAAACATGGGGAGTCTGTATGAAAACGGGGTTCCCGTCTCGTATCAAGGTCATCAGAGAGCAGCTGGCAGATCAAAGTTACAGGAGAAAGACTTGTTGTGCACAGCCTTTTTTATTTTACCCTCAATTTTCTTTTGGCTTGACATCCAGCATGTTAATTTAGCTGATCTGCCTTTTTTTTTTTACGCAACAAGATGCGTTATCGTCATCCTGAAATGACTTCATCATTGCTAAATCTATGATGTATTGATTTTACAAGACAAGTACCCAGCGATACATTTCCTGAGGAGTTGACCTCTGCTTCACCATCAGTGTGGAAAAAAAAAATCTGAATTGGAAGGTCAGACTTTAAATATTGATGATCGGCCAGAAAACTGCAATTGGTACATCCCTAATTTCTTTTCTCGATCAGTTTCTGTTTTCCAGGCACATTGCTTCTAGTAAAGTCTAGTTTCTCAATACTTTCTTTTAGAAGCCTTCATATCTTTGAGACCCAGCGAACTGGGAACCAACCAACATTTAGCCAAACTACACCTTGATCTCACCGTCTTAACAATGCAATGTGTCGTTGAGGTCTCCAAATTATTTTTAACAGAAACCTGCGTTTGTTCTTGCTTTAGAAATGTTAATCACTCAGAATCCAGAATTGTTTCTTCTGTTTGATTTTAAAAATATATGCTGTTGATAGCAAAGTCATTTAACGGCTTCAAGGTATATTTTTAAAAGCCATAATGTTCCGCTGTTAAAATCATTTAGTCGTCTGTGTTCTGCTTTATATTTGCTATGTAGTAAAATAACGGTGCATCCTCCCAGACCAGTGATTCCTCATTCGGTTCTGGCACGATGAACTTTTCTCCACTCCAGTAAGAATCATTTCTACAGTCGTAAAACGGAATTAGTGTTGTTTTTTTTTTGTTTTTTGTTTTTTTTTTTCATGCCTGTTGGTACTGAAGGACGTTTAGTCTTAACCTGCTACTGAACACAGCCCAGAGCAGCTGAACATCCATGATGATGCCTTTGTTTTGAACATTTGCAATGTACTCCTGGAAGGTTCTATAACTTGTATTTGTGGGTTTTTTTGTTTTGGTTTTTTTTTTCTGATCCAAGTTTGTTTCATACAATGTTGTCGTTTTAAACATTTACGTTCTCACTCGTCTATTTACTGTGTGGTAACGGCACAGCTTTACAGCATGAATGCTCTGTATTATGTGACCATTTGTTTTCATCCTCGTGAACCAGAGCCAGTCTGGATGAAAACCTCTGATGGAGTGTAAACATTGGACTGCAGTCCTGAAGATTTCACACTTTAATTCTGTCAGCTGATGAGTTTCAGAGTTGAAGGTGCGACTAGGCATGCTTCGGTACTTAAACCTCATTTCACTCCCAAGACGATCTGGCTCCGTCTTACACCACTTAGGGTACAGTTAGTGTTTAATACTGAGGTTCATCATCTTCATGGAGTACTCTGAATGTCTTGTGAGTGTTGCAGTTTGCCTGTAGCCTTAAAACCACATTCATTCCTTCATTCAGGCGAGTCCGCTGATTGTCACTACCATGACGGTGTTGTTCGATCCACGCCGACGTACTTAAATGTCATTTGTTCTCGAAAAATGTGATGTGAAGAACTAAATGTTAGTTAGGGGTGATGAAGCGTTGATGTGGACTCAACATATGAAGCCAAATATGTTGTGGGCCAACGCAAAATGTTTTGAGGCGCTTCGGTTGTCAGAACTGGCTTTAGCCTTAAATGAATAAATCATTACAGTTCCTGCTGTATATTCATTCTTTTTGTTTATATTAAACTAATTGCTATTATTCATTTTGGTGTCTTGTTTTTGAATGTGAAGTTTTCATCAAAAACCTTTGAGGCTTTCAACAGTCTGCATGTTGGATCTAATGAGTCGAACCATAAAGTAATTGGCCTAAAAGTATTCATGTCCTGTTTGTGCATTTCATGGGGATTTTGTTATAATGCACAAAGTGTAAAAGTTTATATTATGATTTTAGCTAAAATAAAAGATGCACATTAATAATAAACCTGTATAAAATAATATTCAAACAGATTTTATGGAATAAAAGTTCATATGTTCTTTTTTAAAACTATGTGAAGACAAAGGTTTTTCCACACTGTCTGCAAGAGGGTTTACCTGTCCCTGAGTGACGGTCAGTAGAGTTTAATTCAGCAGCGCAAAATACTCAAATAATAAAAATCAGTTTAGCCCAACCTGTCTTTCCCTAAAATTGTAACTTGAGGTTTCTACAGGAGTAGAGTTGGCTTCAGCCCGAGGTGAACAGACGTTCTTCTTCAGGATGTTTTGGTCGACAGCAGAATTCATGGTTCCACTGTCATAGCAAATCTTCCAGGTCCCGAAGCAGCAGAGCAGCCCAGACCATCACACTACCACCACGTTTTGCTGATGACTTGATGTTTTTCTGAAATGTGTTACTTTTACGCCAGATCTAACAGCACACACACTTTCCAAAGAGTTCAACTTTTGTCCACAGAATGTTTCTCCTAAAAGTCTGGAGGATCATTAAGGTGAGTTCTGGAAAAGTTTTCATCTTAGAACTTTGCCATGTAGGCCATTTTTGTCTCTTTCTTACAATGTCATGACCCCTGACCTTAGCTGAGGCCAGAGAGGCCTGCCGTTCTTTAGATATTCCTCTGGGGTCCTTTGTGACCTCTTGGATAACTCTTCACTGAGCTCTTGGGGTAATTTTGTTCCACCAGCCAATGGGAAGCTTTACCACTTTCCATGTTTCTCCATGTGTGGGTAACTCCTCTTACTGTGGTTCACTGGAGTCCAACGCTTTAGAAATGACTTTGTAACCCTTTTCAGATTTATGGAAACCAATTACTTTATTTGTTCCTGAATTTCCTTGGATCTCCTCGTGGTGTCTGCCTTTTGATGATATTTTGGTGTTCTTCACTTTGTCAGGCAGGTCCTGGTTAAGCTATGTCTCGATTAAGATCAGTTGTGTCAGTAATTAAACCAGGGTGTGTCTAGAGACAGTGAACTCAATCAGTTCTGATTTAACAGGAGAGGTAATCAGTTTTCACACAGCACCATGTAGGTTTGGATCTTTATTTTGTGTTTGATTAATATTTCTATTTACAACCTTTGTTTCTCTCTGTTAAATCAGACCAAACTTTTCTTGCCTTAGGTCAGCTAGAGTTACCAAAGCTAATTCTATTTGCTAAATGTCACAATAAGAAAGAACATTTCAAAGATTTACTTACTGACGTCTTTAATTGAAGATCAAGCATTTTAGGCTTCCTTCCATTCGTTTCTCACAGGAGCTTCCTAGATTTCCAGCTATTTACATCTCATATAGAGGCTGGGGGAGAAGGATGGAAAGCAAAATTTGTTTCTGAAACACAGAAGTCAGGGTTCCTTAGTGCTTCTCTATTCCAGTTCTCAGGCCCTCCTGCTCTGCATGTTTTAGATGTGCTTCTATTTCAGAACAGCTGATTCAAACGATTGCATGACCTCTTCTGCAGCGATCAAGAACTTCAGAAGGCTGTACCCACAGATTCAATCCACGTGTGTGGCAGAAGGGAAACATCTAAACATGCAAGGCCGGGGAGCGTGAGGAACGGAATAGAGAAACACTGCGAACGGAACCATAATTGTTCCTTCCCGTTGTCTAACAGTTGTAACTATCCATTAATCCTGGTTTTTGGAAATTCCACAAAACTTTCGGGGTTTTTTTTCTAAAAAGTGAAAAAAAAGAGGGGGGGGGGAACCCACCATATGCCTATGAAAATTTTTTTACATATGTAATGTCTTGCATATGTAAAAAAAAAAAAAAAAAAAAACACACACCGAAATGGCTGTGAAATATGCTGCAGAAATAAGTAAATGTTTTTGCAAAAAGTACGTCAGAAAAAAAAGGAACAACTAAAAACATATATTGAATCATAATACAAAAATTATGCTACTTTTCTGTTTTTTTAGGAATATGATATTTACAAGGGATGTTTTATCTATTTATATTTATCGGGTGCATTTGTGGGCGGGTCAAAAACTCACTGGGAACTACAAAGCTGTTTTGAATGACACACCGGAAGTGCCCCTGATTACTACAAAAACTTCGCTCGAACGACCCATTGCAGACATGTCAGTGCCGTGGTTCTGGACCACGCGGTCAGAAGGAACCTGTACCGCTTCCTAGTGTGACTATAGCCAACTGCCCATACAGAAGTCCCTCGGGTTGTGAAAGAGAGCAGGTGAGCCGTTAAAATACGGAGCCATGTTCGCGCAGCTTAGCAACGAGCTAACATTAGCACACAGGGAGCTAACTGTGTTTACTTTCACATGGAGCTACTGGCTTTCACTTTACAGCTGTCTGCTCGTTTAGTCTTCAACTACATGGAAGATACTAAACTTTAGCAGCTACTGGAAGCGTCATTGAAGAACGGAAACAAGCTAGAAGGGAGTGAGACCTCACTTTCACTATCGTATCTCGAACTCTGCAGCTAAGTTTATTTATTAATAGAATGCAGTTAAGTGTGGAAGTGATTTCAAATGGTCTCGCGCCATGTTAGACGTTCTTGTGTTTTCCAAAGCCCTGTTCTGCCATTTGGAAAAGGGGAAGTCCACACCTAAGCAGACATCAACGCCAAAATGATTAGTATCTCAACTTCGTGTGTTGTTGTTTTTAAATGGAATATAACTTAAGCAAAGACCTAAGAGAAGGGTAACCCTTAATTGAACAAGCCGGATTAGAGGGAGTTAATATTCTTGACAAATAACAATACAAGAAGATGTGAATGAAAAAACACTAGCAGTTTCTGCAGAGTGTGATTATTTCACTTCCCTTACTGATATTGTAACCCTATCAACGCTATTTTTTACTTTTATTTCTTTCAGAACGAGAAAGCTGGGGCAGACCACAGAAAACCAGACAAAACCTCTCCAGAAGATTAAATCAGAAGAAATGTTGCCTGTTCAGCCCTTTTATTCTGATACTTGTACATAAAATCAAATGCAATGTTGACCACTACTAACTAGGGTCGAGCTATAATTACTAGAGGTCAAACGGCATCATGAAGACAAAGGAGCACAGCCGACAAGTCAAGGAGAAGGTCGTGGAGAAGTTTAAAGCAGGGTTAGGTTGTAAAACAATATCTAAATCCTTGAAGATCTCTCATAGCTCTGTTGAAGCCATCGTCCAAACATGGAAAGAGTACGGCACGACTGCGAGTCTTCCAGGACGTGGCCGTCCACCTAAACAAAGAATCCAGTCACAGAGGGTACTGTTCACAGAGGCGTTGAAGAGGCCTGTGGTAATCCTGGAGAAGCTGCCCAGATCCACAGCTCAGGTGAGAGAATCTGCAGTAAAGACCTCAGTTAGCTACACACTCCACCACCTTGAAAAGACATGAGACATGGGTGAGGTTTCACCATCCAGCAGAATGCCGCTGACCATGACTAGGTCAGCGCTGCAGGGGGTCTCCAGCTCCAAGCCCTTTGGGCTGGAGTCCTGCAACTTTAAGATGTCTCTGCTTCCACACTCCTGAGCCAACAGTCAGGATATTAGCAGGTCTCTGGAGAACCTGACTGGTTCCTCAGGAGGTGATTCAGCCGTTTTACTTGCGTCTGCAAATCGTGCTGGACGATTTGCAGACCTGGAGCTGTAGACCTCTGGATTGGAGTGTCACTGAGATGAACAAAACAGTGGCGCCCCATTCTGCTGTTAAACAGATGTCTCGACTTTTCATCTCTCTTCACAATGATCTGACTAACGTTTAATATGAAGTAAGTGTAACATTAAATCAGTCTAAACTCATCAGCTTTCCCTCAGATGATTACAATTAAAATCAGGTCTAGATCTTTACACCATTGTGCTGTTGTGTACAAATGTATTAACTTTAACCCAGTTGATACATGTGCCCTCCCTCCCCCCATCCCTTTCTTTCTGTTTTTTTTTTTTTTTTTGTAAAGAAAAGTTGGATATGAACTTATCTTGGAAAGATAAGTTAGCAAATGGAAAGATATTTCCATTTGCTAAATGGAATCAGTGTGACTCTGATGTCCTCTGTCTTGTAGCAGGGCAGAGCGATGGACGGGGTCGGCTGGAGCTCCTCCAGGTCACAGGGCTCCTTCAGAGCAGACACCCTGTCCAGGCTGGCCAGCTTCATTGCACGCACCGATGCTAAGCAGCACGCTGCAAACCACCCGCCTTCCCGCCTTCCTCTGTACGGCTGTCAGGAATGTGGAAAAGGCTTCCCTTATCCCAAAGACGTGCTGCAGCACCAGGAACAGGACGGCGTGCTGCCGAAGCCCCACCGCTGCACGCTGTGTGGCCAGCAGTTCTCCCTCAGGTCGTCCCTGCAGCTGCACCGCTGCAACCTGGAGGCTGACGGCTGCAGCGCACCATGCACTGCTCTGCTGTCGCACCCCGGCAGGCTGCAGGAGACGCCGCTGCACCGCCAGCCGCACTTGTTGGACAGCAGCCCATACGCCTGTGCCCCTTGTGGGAGGGGCTTCAGCCAGAAGCAGGCACTGCTGCACCACCAGCAGGCCGGCTGCAGCGAGTCTCCATCCAACGGCGCCGACGCCCGCAGCCTCCCAGACGACTCTCCACCCGTTTCTGAGGGCGACTCCGCCCACTCGGATTTCTCGGACACGCCGGGGCCCAGCGGAGGCGCCGTCAATGCATGCCGGATCTGTTCCAGGACTTTCTGCTCTGACACTTCGTTGAGGCGGCATTTTCTGGACAGCCACGCAGAGGAGACTCCCAGCACCAAAGTGACGAGTGAGGAAGAGGAGGAGAGGACTGCAGCGGTGACCCTGAAAGCCAAGAGGAAGCTCCTGAGCTGCCGCTCGTGCGACATGGTCTTCAGGAGCACATCGCAGCTGTACATGCACCGCAAAGAGAAGCACCGCAGAGAGAAGCTCACCAGGAGGGAGGCCAGGCCCATCGTCAAGAGGAGCCGGAAGCCCGGCATGTATCCGTGTCAAATCTGCAGCAAAGTCTTCGGTCACCATCTGACTTTCAGGGCACACTGCAAGCAGCACAAAGCAGCCGACTCTGCCCCGATCGCCATCAACGACGACAGCAGCTCCGCAGACTGTGCCGTCCCAGACTCCCAATTTCTCACTAACGGTCCGGCAGCCGGACTGGGTCCACTCGGGAAGCCGCGCAGCATCTCGCCCAGTGTGGACGATTCGGGAGAGGAGTCTGAACGAGAGGACAGCGAGTTCCCCTGTCCCTCCTGTCCAGAGGTTTTCTCCACCCAGCAGCAGCTGAAGGAGCACATAGAGCTGCACCAGGCGTCAGTGAGACAGCGCCAGTGCAGCGTGTGTGCGTGTGAGATGGACGGGTCCAAAGGGCCGGCCTCCAGGAAGCAGAGGCTGTACCACTGCGTTCCCTGCCAGCAGGGCTTCTCCGCTTTGGACTCGTTTCTAGAACACTGCCAGGAGCACCTCCGGGTCCGCGTGGAGGTGGAGGAGCAGCGCCTCTCCCTGCAGCCCAGCAAAGCCTGACCGCCAGCTGCAGCTTCCTCATGCGCCAAACGGACAGCAGCGGCTGGACCCAGAGCGTTGGTTCTGCTCCCTGAGTCGGGTTGTGATGCGTTCAGGTGCTGAACATGTCAACTTGGTGTAAGAGACCTGAAAATGCTAAAATGTGTGAAAGTAACTATTCGACTGATGGAGCTGATGATTGAATGTTATCCTGTAGCAACATATCAGGGTCTAAAGGAAGTCCATGTAAGCCTTTAACCACAGATTACCTTTTAGGTGTTCTGATCTCTGGATTCTGATTGGTTTAAATGACATCCTTCAGTTTAAACAGAGCTGCTGATGACTGGACCAAGCATCGCCACTAAACCGGATAGGCGCAAATGTGAAATGGCAATCAGAAACGGCATTACCACAGAGTCATCAGCTCGTGAACCACAGCAGCTTTTCACTGAGTTTAAATCTCTACACACTACAGTTGACATTAGCTAAATGGATTTTTGTTCTTTTGTCAAATGTCCAATTTGCCTTAAAAAGTGAATAAATGCATTCATCAGATCATCTTTTCCCCCTGATTGAATCACATCAGAAGGATCCTGCTGGATCTCTATGCGTTTGTGGATTCTAGAATGACTTCTATTTTTTTTTCCCAGCACATTTTTGAAGTACTTTATTAAATGCTTTGCAGCAATGTGTGCTATTATGCTGATGAAGCATACTTTATACTTCTGAAGACACAATAGTACTCAACACAACTTGATTTGAATTGTTACGTTTGTTTGAAAATGTCTCTAAAGTTGGTTTAAATGCAGCTGCTGATGCAGAGAATGGTTGTAAGGTGTGTGCCAAGTATTTCCTTCCCCCTTCAAATGTTCTCTTCCCCCCCCCCCAGTAGAACAAACTGGTACAAGATACTTCAATTTGAACGAAAATTCAACCTTGCATTTCCTGTCTGAGTGGTGTAACAAATCTCTGGGCTGATGCTGTGTCCAGCTTCTGTGGAGGTTTTGGTTCAGCTGAACTGTTCCAAGCATCTTTCATGGAAATACTTGTTCTCTGTAGTTCAGATTCAGTTTGAGACAGTTGGCTTGAATGTCTCACCTATGCAAACATGTGGATTAATAGCAGTTGAGAAGCAGCTGGCATTGTTTTTTTCTTTGTTTAGATACTGTCTTTAAGGTGCTACTGTGAAAATAAGTTATTTTATAACTTTTTTTTTTTTCAATAAATTGGTTCATACTGCTTTATAGATGACAGAATAAAATGACTATACAGCTGAAATATTTGTAATTTTTCTCATTGTGAGACTGGTATTAAGGTTTGATAGTGGATTATATTCTGCCTTAACATGACTGGTCTCTTGTATATGTACCCAAGGAATTTATTAACATCACATAAAGACCTTGACTTTTTTTTAAAAATTTTATAATGCCCTAAATAAAATGGTTTATTGCAGTACTATGTCAGCCTGAGAATTCTTTTGGGGGGAAAAAAGCTTTTGGTGCATTTGTTCATTGGAAAAATTATGGATTGGAATTTAACAAAGCCACATATGGCATAGATATTGGTTCTTAATTATTTAAGATGTAACATTTTTGGAATGTATGCCTTTTAACTTCAGAGTTTCTGAAAACTTCCATCATCTGTTTAATCTGGGATGGTGTTATGGTGACAGCGGCTTATTGGAGAAGCCAAGACTTCCCTCTTCCCAGCCACTTGGGCCAGCTCTTCTGGGTGAGCAGCAGTGCTATCAGCTGTTCAGCACAATAGGGTTGTACAGATAATCAATTCCTGAAGTTCTCTTTCACTTTATTGACCTGCACTGCCCTTAAGAAGCTTACCCCCTGCTCATCATTTTCTGTCTGAATTGTTTTGAAATTATATTGAACTAGACTGTGAATAATTGTATTTAAAAATATGTAGACTGACTGGACAAGTTTCTCGTATATCTTCACCTGACAGTGGCGCAACTACACATTATTCAGGTGGATGCGAAAACATAAATCGGCGCCCCTCTCTCCCCCGAAAGAAGGTTGAAGGAGCGTGGACAACATACGCCACCCCCGTGACGCCCCCCACCTCGTCACGTGCGCGAGGTGAAGGAGCGTAAGGCGCGCTGAAGTGTATGGGAAAACGGTTCTATATAATACTTTTGAATTGGATTAAAACATCACATTTCAACATTAAACATGTTTTCAGTGATTCTACAAAACCTGCTTCGCTTCGTGTTCTTCAATACTCTGCCTCCTCCTGGCCTTTTGGGGGCGGTGTGTGGTTATTGGAACGTTGAAACCGGTCGCTGATAGCTTAAGCTGATAGGCCCTTTTCACAATTACGTCAGGCAACTTCCGTTCTGACTCTATGCACGCTTTCCTTCCGCGGCTTTGTCAAACGAACAGCTAGCATACAGGCTTTCTGCAACTAAAGACAAAATGAGCAAAGCACATCCACCAGAGCTTAAGAAGTAAGTTTACTTGGGTTCAATACAAAGCGGGAACGGTACTCTGACTGTTTTTGTTCTTGGTAGAAATGAAAGCAGGGTATTATTTCAGCTGTATTGTTTTCAGTGGCAGGATGCTAACATTAGCAATGTTGGAACTGTCCTGAATATGACTTTCATTTACAGAAAATGTCTTTCTATTTTAGGTTTATGGACAAGAAACTTTCCTGTGAGTATGGTTCAAATTTCATTCACAAACACATGCACTTTTGTGTTAAAGTGTTAGCTTGTAGCATGCCAGAGGCAAATGTGGCTAGTAACTGCTCAACTTTTTTTGAGCAATGAAATACTTATAGGAGTGGTTTGTCCTCTAATTATTTCGCTAAATGACAGGCAGCCATGATTAAAGCAAAAAGAAACCCACACATCTCCAGTTTATATTAAGACTTCTAGTTTGTTAGACAAGCTCCATTGTTATAATATTTTTATGTACCGATCCTGTTGTGACAGTAATAGTGGCTGTCACTAAGTATTTTACCATCTTCTAACATGATTATTTTTATTACCTAATGGTTTCCACAGCTTTATGGAGAAAATCTGATTTGGAGTTGTATTTCTTCGGCCTAAATATTGTTTTTGTCATTTTCGTAGCTTATTTTTGTCATCGTGTTTTGAACTACCACAATTTGTGTATAGCTTTATATTTTTGACTTCAGTTACAGAATTTCTATAAATAAAATTGTTTTCATCAGTTTAGTACTTGATTGGTCTTTTAAACACACAATTTCTTTAACTTGTTTAGGATTACTTCTTTATGCCACTACTACTCCATACAACAGTACCAGAGGTTTTTAATACTATAATTTTGGGCTTTTTGTTCCTACTACCTGGTTGGTGAGCAGCTTCACAAACAGTTGGATTTTGGTCTTGTTTTTGATCGTCGTTGTTCAGCTACATGTCTATCATTCGACTGTTCCTTCCATCCTCCTGTTTTGTCCATATAAATTTTATATTTTGAACTAGAGATGACCACATCTGCTGCTTTAGAAGCTGTGAAATGACCTTTTATTTCTTTTCTTTTTTTTTTCACTAAATGTTTATCATCTCCTTTATGTTATACTGTTCTAACTTCAACATATTTTTTTTGTAAATTCGATCTAAAGAGATGAAACACTATATCTGGAGCCGACTGCTTGTAACAAAGCATTTCACATTGTCAAAAAGGAAACTGGTTTATATGAGCAAACACCTTTTCTGTTGTGGAAAAACCTCCCAACCTCTGATATTTTCAGTAGTCACATTTTCTGATGAATCAGTAAATTTCACTTTAACCTTACAATAACATGACTGGTCATTTTTATTTATCAGTCCTTTAGAAAAACTGACTTATGCAAATTTTGTGCTTGTTTAGGATGTTGTTCCTACTACCTGGTTGTAATTGTAGTTGTAATTTCTTTCTTTTCTTTTTTTGATAGCAAAATTATTTTAAAAAAGTAGGCCTTTTAATACCCTCACTAAAAAAAACAAATCTGATGGTCCAAAGGAAACTGAACTGGAATAAATTTAGCTTATTGTTTCGTTTCTGGCGTCTAATGTGGTTTAAAAATCTTCTGAGAGGTTCTGGGTTTGTGTTGCAGTGAAGCTGAACGGAGGGAGGCATGTGCAGGGCATCCTACGAGGATTCGACCCCTTCATGAACCTGGTGATGGACGACTGTCTGGAGATGGGTCCGGGTGGACAGCAGAACACCATCGGCATGGTGGTCAGTACCTCGTAGCTCAGGAACCCGCTTCAGCTTTTAATGTTTATTAGCTGAGAAACGGCGAGTTAATCTGATAACCGACACTGAGAGAAACCACCCAGATACCCTCGATGTTCTCTGGGGTCCTAATGTCACTTATTAATGTTTAAAACTACTGATTATGTTTAAAAGAATGCAATGTTTGATATTTTGTATTTTAATAAGTGTTTTTTTGTTTGCTGCAGGTTATCAGAGGAAACAGCATCATCATGTTGGAGGCTTTAGAGAGAGTATGAGAAGAGAGGAGGATGGTGGAAAGAATGAGCTACAGTTTTTATCTTTTGTTCTTTTTTACGTTTTTGTTCTACGGGCTCAGCAGTTGAGTGATGGCGAATTTCTCTTCATTTTGATGTTTTGTGGTTTAATGGGAATAAATTAAATTTTCCTTATTTGTTTTTGTGCCTGTCCTTTTTATTATAATGAATTTATTGTTTTATAATAGCCACTTAGTTAAAATGAGTGTAAAGTAAATATAAAGTAAATATTATCTAGGTATATTATTTTATATATATTTTGATTTGGGGGTTTTATTTATTTTTTTAGATGGATGTTTTTCAAAAGTAGCTGTTTCTTTAAGCTGACCTTGAATGGAAATCCTCAAGACAAGATGGACTCATCAAAATTCCTGAACTGCAGTTACTTCCTACTTCTACAAGCTGTAAAACGGCATGTGCATAGATAAGCTACAGCATCTGAAAGTTGGAATGGTACGATATATACAATTGTTGTAAGGTGTTTGATAGAAATGAGTCTGGCTTGTTCAGTTTAGTCAGAAAAGGCGATGTTTCTAGAATCAATATGGTAGCATGATTTATGTTTGAAAAATTGCATCTAAACAAACCATAATGTACAGTGGCATATTAAGAGAAAATCAAAACCTTATAGACACAAATGCCCCATTTTAGTGGTTATTAAGTGATTTAAGGGACTTCGTTAAAGGAGACAAATGATTTAAAAAACGGTTTGAAAATTTTACTTTAGTTGCTTAAACAAACCTGCTCTTATCAGTGCAACAAAAGTGTATCACGGGTATGTATACTGAACAAAAATATACATATTGAGCTCCAATACATTACAAAAACATTTGACAAAATATGTTTCTGTAAAAGATAAACTGAATGTACTGCTCCAAAGTGAAACTCTAAGGGTTAACCAACAGAGGGCGCTGTCTGCGCTTCCGTCCTGCAGGTAGACTTTTACTTTGAAAGCGTATTGACGTCAAAGACGTTGCGTCTCCTTTACGTAGTGTTTCGTAGCCGTTTTGACGGTATGTGGAAAGTAGCAATGTCGGAGGAGGTTGGGAAGGCGGTCCAGTCGGTGCTGGAGCGGGTGAAGCAGGCGGCGGCGCGGCGGCCCAAGGTAACAGCTGCCCCGGGAGCGCCTCTCTGATGCTGCGCTATCTGCAGGCGGGAAAACAGCGAGGCGGTGGAGAGAGCTGAGGTTATGCAAGGCTGCCAAACATCTCAACCTTTGGATGGAAGGCACTCGAGCCTGTAGCAGCACTTTCATAACACGATTCGTGATTTAAAGTGACAGCATGTTAATGCGAGGATCCTTTCATTCTGTGGATGCACGTTCATCTCTTAGCATCATTTTGTGGATTAAGCTGACCCAATCAGAGTAGCGTGTTTTTATCACAGCAGGTGGTCAGCTTTGACCAGGATGACCCTAATTTCTGATAGTTTGTCTTAGATCACGGAGACCTTCTTGTTATTTTTTTAAACTATTTTAAATTAATCTCTGTCGATAATTTTCATTTGGCCTAATTAAGCTGTTTCAGAATTTTTCTCTTTCTCGAAGCATCAAGGTATAAAAAGGCTCCTAAACTCTAGAGATGGACCAGTGTTGTATCAGACATATGGACAACCAAAGTCATTTGGAACTAACAGCTAGTCCACCAGAAATAAAAAAGTCACTATACCAACACAAGATGTGATTCTCAAAGTTATTTGAATGAAGGTAATGTCAGAGTTATTTATAATACAGCACACTGTGCCGCTTTGGTCCTGATGTTGGTCCCTCACAGCATCTCAACCAGTACAGAGTAGCTCATACTTGTGGACTAAAAGGATCATGGTGTTTTTCAAGCTTTTTAGCAAATATAAATCTGAAAAGTGTGGTACGCATTTCTATTCAGTCATTGCCGCTCCAGCCACACCACACATATTCTTGGGGAGTGTGTCTCTGAGCTCTTTGTCTTCAGACTGAATCTTTTGCCATTTTGTTTTTATAGCATGTGAGTCACATTAGATGGAGATGTTTAGTGAACACTTTTCTAGTCTTATATATATTCCCATTTGGACTTACGTCTGGACTTTGACTGGACCATTACAGCACATGAATATGCTTTGATCTAAATCTTTCTGTTAGGAATACACTGGGGAAAAAAACCTGGCCTTTACCAATTTTTTTGTGTTAAGTCACTAAATTGCATCAAAATCACTTAACGCCTAGACTACACTTAATGTTACATATACATTTTTATGCATTAGCCTTTCATCCACACAAAAACTTATTTATTATCACTAACAGCGATTAATAATGACCAAAGTGGAGATCCAAGAAAACTCTGCAGGTGTTTGCTGTGTGTAGGTCTTACAGTCTCCAACAAATAATTTGCCAATATACCCACATATTTGTTGCGACATGATTCTCAACTGATAGTCTTGTGTTTTATTAACGTTATATTCAAAAACGCTATTTGAAACTAGTTCAACCCATATATCTGTCCACACAAATAAACCTGCTAGCGCCATGTTTAACTCCTAACAGGAAGTCATAGTTATTTTGAAGCAATCTGATTGGTTGACACAGGTTTTAGTTTTGCACCATACTGCCCCCTGCGGGTTTGGTATGTTTAAAACAACACTCAGAGATGGATTTGTCCAGGTTCATGTGGATGAAAACTTTTCTTAAACCGATCCTGCATGTACGATAAAATCTTTTTAAACAATATGGCAGAGATATTTGTTTTTATAAAGACCTGACTATGTGTTGAAAAGGCCTTAGTTGGCAAAAGGGGGGTGACTACTGCTATCCTAAATTATGGGGCAATGGTGGCAACGGTGGTTGGTGTTTGTTCTGCAATGAGGGGGTTGCCTGTTCAATCCCTGCTCCGTCTGTCTCTGTTGCTGTGTCCTTGGGCAAGTCACTTTACCTGCCGGTGGTGGTCGGAGGCCCGTGGTGCTGGTGCATGTACGCATCGACTGATCTTCTCCCTTAGATGGGTTCTGGCAAAGGGCAAGCAGAAATTTTTATGGTTTTCTTCCAGCAGTACCTTTCCTTTTGCCACTCTTCCATGATAATAACAAACAATGCGACAGAATCTGAAAGAGTTGAATAGTGTGAATGGTTTTTGGAGGTACTGTAACAACCTTCACCAACCTCAGAGCTCATCCACCGATTCAGATGATGGATAGTTTGTCCTTCCTCAGACGCTCCCCGCTGTGGTGCCCCGCCTTGTAGCTGTCAGCAAGACCAAACCCCCAGACATGATTGTGGAGGCCTACAGGCAAGGACAGCGCAACTTTGGAGAGAACTATGTGAGTATGGAATGCTGCTGGCCATCAAGGAATGGATAGAGAGACTGACCTCTATACGTCTCTCCTTCCAGGTTAATGAGCTCGTGGACAAAGCGTCAGATCCACTGGTAGGTTCACATGTTCCAGAGGATGGAGTTCAGACTTTGACCTTTTAGCTTTTACAACTGTCCTTCTTCCTCCTTATCTAGATTTTAGAGTCATGCCCAGAAATCAAGTGGCATTTCATCGGCCACCTACAGAAGAACAACGTCAACAAGTTGCTGGGTGAGTGGCATCAGCTCTGCTAGTCGTTCCTCCATTAGCTTCCTGTTTGCAAACCGTCACGAGTCGTCTTGTCCTCTAGGCGTCCCTAACCTTTTCCTCGTGGAGACCATCGACTCCCCGAAGCTGGCCGACAAGGTCAACACCTCGTGGCAGCGTCTCCGAGGAGCGAGCAGCCAGAGGTTAAAGGTCATGGTGCAGGTCAACACCAGTGGAGAGCAGAGTGAGTGTCGCTGATCACAGAAATGAAGCTCCAGATTGCATTTGCTGATCCAGGGCTCTGCATGTTTGGTTTCAGGCAAACATGGCCTGCCGCCGGAGGACACGGTCAACACGGTTAAACACATTGTGTCGCAGTGCTCCGCCCTGCATTTCTCAGGACTCATGACCATCGGTCGCTACGGCTATGACCTCACACTGGGGCCCAACCCTGACTTTCAGGTACAAACCTTCAGAGAAAGTCAGTTCATTTCTAGGAATCGAGGACATTTTTCACATGTTAATACAACTGAGGGAGCTCAGAATATGCCAGGATATTATTTTATGAGTGATTTTATGAGTCTTGGCGAGACACTTTACTCCACTACTTTAGCTTTTCAAATGATGTTTTTAGAGTCTGCCCATCGGTCAACTAATAAACTGGATTTTGGTCACAGGGGTAACAGGTCCTGGAGGGAAAACCAGACACCCCCGTTCCCAGCAACACTCCCCAGCTCATTCTGGAGGCTCCAAAGTTATTTTGGGTTACAGCCTATTTGGGTCTACCCTCTGCCCCGCTCCTCCAGACTAGAGGCAGCAGCCATTTGCACACACTTTGGTGGAACTGCACGTCTGCTGAGCTCATCATACGAACTGCTTCTTAGTCTAATGCTGCTAAGAACGGTTGTAAACAGCATAATGAGAAGAATTGACGTGATAATGTCCTGAGGTGGAATGTCCTTAAAGAGTCATATGTCAATTTTATGGGGTCAAATATGGCTGTGGTGAAAATTCATATTTCTTTTAAATTATTTCGAATATATATTGCGTTTTCATAATAACTGAAGGTAACAGAGTTACGTTATTGTGCTTTAAAATGGTACCATGTGCCTGGAAAATACTTAATACAGCCCTTTAAATTCTCCAGGTCATCAAACAAATTTTGGTAAATACCAAAAAGTAGTTTTCACCTCCTGGATGATTTGTTGAGGCTTTCTTGGAGTAGTTTAGATAGGCACTGCTGAGAAGCTTCACCGTGTGTTTTTTTCATCTGAGCATACAGTAACAGCTCCCACCGAGTCTTAATGTTGATGAAGGCCCTACTTCATGCAGTCAGGTTCTGTTAAAGTGATTAGTTTTTTAATTCTGGCTAGGCAATAAAAACGCCCCAAAAAGTGACTAATCACAGCTAGTTGTAGGTAGAAAAAGAGGGGAGTCGTAATTAAAAAACACCATCACCATACATACAGATAGAAAGTTCTATTGCCCTCAAGCATTTTATGCTGTTTTTATTTATCTAATTGCAACAGTAAAAAGTCAAGTTTGGACTTCATGTTTACGTACATTAAAGGTTGGGGTCTAAATCGTCCTGTAGATGCTGTTGAGTCGGCGGCAGGAGGTGTGTGAGGGCTTGAAGCTGCCCATGGAGGAGGTGGAGCTCAGCATGGGCATGTCCACTGACTTTGAACATGCGGTAAGTTATCTGTGCTTGTTATGACAAAGCAGTGCGAGCACTGGTTATATTAAATGTGAGATGAGGAGAGGAAACAGAACTGCCATGCAAACAGTTTTCATCCACTTCAAAATAAAAGCATCAATACAAACTTAACTATTTTAAAGAATTCTTAACAGCTGATAAACAAGATGTTTTATTCAACTGAAAGTTTACAGCTTAGCTTAAGGGAAGCTCATTTTCACAATTAGCTGAATTGCTAAAAGGAAAGATTAGCTCTGCCGTTAGCGCATTAGTGGAAGTGTGCCCACCACTGGAGCATGCTAGCTAAATTTTTACCTTTACCTTCCATTTTACACTGTTTTGGAATTTCAAAGTTACTTTCTGAACAGCACTTCAATTAAGGACATTTCTTTCCTCTTTGGTCTGACTTGTACTCTCTCCTGCGGATTCAAGATCGAAGTGGGCGCCACCAACGTGCGAGTCGGCAGCATCATCTTCGGCAACAGGGAGTACCCCAACAGTGCGCTGAACACCCCCAATCCCACTCCAAATCCCAGTCCCCTTCCCAGTCCGGCTCCGAGCCCCGAGAAAACAACCAAGACGGTGTCAGAAGAAGCTGCTAAGAAGATGCACCATCTCACCGTATCTGAACACTAAAAGGAGATTATTAAAAACACCTCCAGGACATTTGGGGGGGGGGGAACAAAAAAAAACAAAAAAAAAACTAACATACATTTGGAGTTAGGACTGCAGCCTTCTTACATCGTTATATAAAAAAAAGTAGTCACAAAATAATAAACTTTCTTTCCCCTTTTAGATTTTTCTAATCATTAAATTAACATTCAGTTAAGAACTAAATGAGATAAGATGTCTTTTCCATCTCTACCAGTTGTGTCTAGCAGCTGTTTCTAGCTTGGAGTGCTCTCACTTCCAACGTAAACAGTGACCACCAGTGGATTCAAGCCAATGAAAAACAGGAACTCAGATGTAGTAAGATTTTTTTGCGGCAGTGACTTAGATGTCAGCAGTCAGTATCTTCCATGAAGTTGACAACGGTCCAGTAACAATTAGTAGGCTCAAATCTTCCACAACTCTCAAATCAGAGATTTTCTAGCTGTTTGATTAAATGCTATTTAAACATTTTTTTGCACCTCATATTTAATGAGATTGTTGCATAGTTGGGTCACTATTTATTGAGATATGTAGCATTAACATCCATATGGAGCTATAACATATGCACCAGGAGTTGTTGTGGCTCTTTAAAAAGCGGATATTCTGTACATATTATTCATTCCAGAATAAGGCCTGTGGTCTTTTCTTTCTAAATCTTACACTTTCATTGTCCTCCAAGCTATCAAAAAGTAACTGTTGCACAATTGTTCTGACTCTTCATGGTAGTTATTCTTGACTCCCAAGTGAGAATTTCTCTTGGATTCCCTGAACTGGCATGATTGTTAGATCTACCACTGGTAGGATACTGACTGCTCACAGCTAGTCCACATGACCTCACATTTAGTACTGATCTCTGTTTTTGTTTGTTTTTAGGAAAATATGTAACTGGTGTTAACACACTTTACACATATGGAAGCCTTTTACTTTCCATTACGCTGATACGGTTTATTAAAAAGACACTGGCTTCATGAAATCCGTTTCTCTTGCGTTCTAATAGGAAATAATTGAGCTGGTTCATTGTTTTCTATTTTTCCAACTGAACAATGTGAGGTCAAAAGTTCCACTTGCTCCAATGAACCGGTTTCCTTGTAAAACAAAGATTTGATTTAATAAATTGTTTATCCCTTTATAACAATTACCGTGCATTTGATATGGTTTCGTACAATGTGCCAAATGTCTCAGATTTTATTCTTGATATCGACAAATCCGAGGGGAGGTTTTGTTTCTGTTCGGTGTGTGTGTGTGTGTGTGTGTGTATGTGTGTGTGTTTGTGTCTGTTCAGTGGTGTGTTATTCCAGATGAGAGAAAGTGAATCTATGCAAATGTTTGGTTTTCAAAGCTGCCAGCTGTGACGTTCAGCAGTTTCCTCTGAGGAATGCAGTGTTTTCCTGTTCTCATATAAAAGTGTCAGTGGAATAAAAAATAACACACACACAAAAAAACTCTAAAATAGGAGGTAAACTTGTGATTAGACATGTCCTTACTGTCAATAAGGCATTTCAGCTTCGTTTGGTTTGGTTTTTGAGGAGAGGCCAAAGCCAAGCAATAAATTTTACTGTTGAAAATATCAGCTAATTGCTGTGTATTTATTCCTTTTGCAGGGGGCGGGGGGGAAGTGGCATATTAACCATAAGACGTGGACATCTTTTGGACAAAGTTTCTTTATTAAGCATTTCAGGATGAAATCCAGATCAAATTTAAATTAAACATATTGAAAAACAATTTTTAGAACTGATGTCTTCTTTTATGAGTTATCACCATACGATATTTCAACTCCTGGATATTTCGAGCCGATTTACCCTGGATTGACAAATCGGCTCCCAAAATGGCAAACCTGGCGTTTTGTGACTGCTAAATAAATAAACTGATGAAACACCAGCCTGCAGAAAACAGTCTGTGAGCTAAAACCTTAAACAATCTGGAGGAAAACCTTTAGATTCACTCCCCATTTCACATTTATAAGACTTTAGTGCAGCTGTAAGCATAAAGTACCAGCAAAACCAAATGTTTCCATTTTTTCCCCCCACCATACTTCCATGAACCGAAACTTTGACTAAGCACTTGAGAGCAGGACAGAGTCAAACATTGGTAGCGGCCATTTTACCATCATTTTTTTTAAAAGTAGCAGTAGGAGGGATGTTGTGGTATTTGTTTGGTCATGTGACGATAATGGTGACGCAGCGCAGAATAGTGGAGTGTTTAACTGAAGCAGCGATTTGGCTTTTTTTTTTTTTTTAATAGTGTTAAAAGGGTAAGAAAATGTATGTATGTATGTATACATATATGTTATAAGTAATGTCGGTAATATCTCTACCCTACTTGGTGGGATTTTAAAAAAAAAAAAATATTTCCTGGAAAGAAAATTTTGACACTACTCTGTGTCCACCACTGGAATGATGAAAACACAGCAGAAAAACCTGGACTGGTGGATCAAACATTCAATCTATTGAAAAAAAAAAAAATACTGACGGTGACTGAACAGTTTAAGCCCAAAATACTTTTAGTAAAAGGAAAAAGCAAAACTGCACAACCACCAAAAAACATTCAACACCTAAACCAACAATCATGAACTCGTGTGTTGTAGTATGAGTGAAACACATTGGCTAAAACGTTTACAATTATTTTATGAGTTTTTTTCTTTTATCTAATTTTAATCAAGAAATAGGAAGTGTTATAAAAACCTTTACCTAGGTCATCATATTAACCGCTTCCTGCCTCCGAATGTGTCAACAAGCTGATAAATGTTCATATCATGCATGAGATCGAGGATAAAGAAACTACAAAAAGAGAGAAAGAAGGGCTTGCTCTAACGTTCTAAAATTTAAGTACACTTATATGGTCTAGTCCAATCACTGGAGAATTCTGTCCCTTTAATCGGTTACTACATGTCCTGGTGTATGGCTTCATGTGACACTTCTTTTGAAAGCACCTAAAGTCTGAGATGGACATTCAGCCTTCATGGCCTCTGCAGAGACACGAAGAACGTGTCGCCGACATTCCAGGACAAAACACCCCGGGAAACCTCCAGATGGTCCTAGTTAAAACCTCAACTGCTAAAAGTTGTTTTTGGACAGATTATTTGAGCTTCTGGTCACAACAAATTCAAGCAAAATTGAGAGGAATCAAAATACATTTTGACGTACGTAATGATAGGCTGCAGCTGAAATCTAAAGTCAATATTCTTGTAGGACTTTAATTGGTTACATGTTTTTGTTAGTTTTAAACCAATTTAATCATTTTATTTATTTATTTTTTACACAGTTAAGCTCCTTTCACCCAATAAACAATATGGCCTGTACTGATAAAACCTTCAGAGGGCCTCCATGACGACAAGCCAGATGGAAAAGGTTCCACACGTCTTATATCGGACACAGCTCCAGGAACACCGCTACAGACCACGCCCCCTTGGTTCCACAATCTCAGCTCTGTGTTCTGAAAGCTCATATGGCCCCTGATGTCAGCAGGATGTTTAAGGTGGACTGATTACCTCAAACAGGCTTTAGAAAGGTTCCATGTCAGGAAACCAAATTCAACAGGTCAGGCTCTGACATCTCCTATCTTAAAGAAATATTAACGACAGAGTTGAAAATGTCCTGAAATTGCAAACCGACTGTTTGTGTATCAGGATAATATTTGGACACGTCGGAAATCAGGTTGAACACAGCTGAAGGCTGTTACGAAACAGTAACAAAGCAAACTAAATAAGCAAACTTAAGTTATTTTCATTTAACAGTTTTAACATTCTCCGTCTTTCACAGAAATCCTTTAGTGAAAAAACCCACATAAAGAACAAAATAATGTCCAGTGTGGTCCAAAAAAACTCCCAAAAACCTAAACACGAGTGGAAATGTAACTGGAATGCGGCGCTTCCACAGAAAACCTAAAACATTACGAAGTAAAACCTAAAAGCTTCCCAGGACTGGTGTGTGGATCAACTGGTACCAGATACGGCTGCCGACTGGGTCTGCTCCTCCTTTTAGTCCATCGTGTTTCTCTCATCTCCCAGAACGTGCTAAACCAGTTTCTTGGCTTCAAAGAAGCTTTTCAGGTGCCTCATCTGCCAGATCCCAGTGACGATGAGGATGAAGGTCTGAGCGATGGACCACCAGAGGACGCGCTGGTTGGTGCTCTCGCTCGTCATGCGGAACCTCTCCTCCCGGTACTGCCAGACACAAACCAGCGCAGTGAGCTCAAGGCTTAAGTGGCTCTGGTAAACATCTCAAAGATTTTCTTTTTTGTTTTGTTTTTCTGAACTGACCCTCTGGTAGCTTTGCTCCTTCTGGATCTGCTCCACCTGGTCCAGCAGCTGTCGCACTCGCAGCTGCAGCTCGGTCAGCTTATCTTTTGCTGCGATTTCAGGGTAGTTGTTGGTGTGTTCTCCGACCTGAATCTCCAAATGGACTCGCTGCAACATTACAGAGGAGTTACTGATTGGTGTGAGAAGGCTGAGAAAAAAGCAATTTATGATGGGAAAAAAATGTGATGAACACAAAGCAGTACATAAGGCTGAAATTGAAGGAAAATTCTACCTGAATGCAAAAATTTTTCTTGTAACAAATAAATAAATAATGTAAAAATGTGCACCGCTGAATAAAAGGTAAGCATAGTCATAGACATTAGCTTTGCTAACACTAAAGTGCTAAATCAACACAATATATAGCAGAAACAAATGCTAAAGCACTAGCATTTGCTAATCCTAGCAATATACTTGACATTATGATTTACATATTCAATAATTCCCTTAAATATTGCATTTATGTTCATTTCTTGTTCTCCGTGTTTTATTTTCTTCCTGTATGTTTCTTGAGTTAAATAAATGTATTGGTGGGGGAGGGGGAAGAGGTGCCAGGAGAGAAAACGGAACTGCTGCGTAAACCGTCTCTTCAAAGTAAAAGCATGAACACGGACTTCTAACTACTTAAATAATTCTTAGCAGTCGCAACTTCAACACGGATATCAAACTGAAAGTTTACAAAACAGCCAAGTAAATTAGCGCTTCAGCATTTATCCATATAAACTTATTTAAGGGAAGCTAAAAACCGTTAATGTTTTCAAAGTCAGCAAAAGCGCTACACAAAGTATTAGCTTCGCCATTAACACATTAGCAGAAGTCTGCCCACCACTGAAATTCATGATGGCAACGAGCCATTTACTGGACACGGCAAACATCTGGTCGGACAGACCAAAACGGAATTTTTTGGTACACATAAAAAACACAACACTTCACCCCCACCAGAAAATATAATGGTGGCAGCATCATACTGTCGGGATGCATTCTTCAGCAAGGGCAGGTCTATCCTCCCATCATCAGAGTTGATGGATGGAGCTAAATACAACCCAGTTCTGAAGGGAAACCTCCAGGTATTCCCTGAACATAAACCCAGAGCTACAACAGAATGGTTTATAAAAGCATATTTGCACAACAGAACGGCCTGTTGAGAATTTGTAACAGGAATTGAAATTTTCTCATCACAGGTGTTCTGCATTATGTGTCTGAGCTTAAGCAATTAAAACAAAACACAAAAAAAACTGATCAATAAACAACATACATCCTCCAAAAGACTTCTAAAAAGTACTGACTTACTGGTTCAACTTCTGGTTTTTATTCATAAAAACACTGAAAATCATTATTGTTCTTCCAGGTTGCATTTATGCACTAGTTTGTGTATGAGGTCCCAATAAAATACATTAACGCTTAAGGTTGTAATGTGAATGTTTTTCCAATTTGCTGATGAAATACAACAGAAAGTTAACAGTTTTAAGCTAAAATAAATTAGACAAAACATCCACATGGAAGCTGTTTCTTTAATTAAATATCAATCAGTCAATAAACCATTGTCATTGTCTGTCTGAGGCAACTTTCCTACCAGCTTCCCTCCGGCGAACAGAGCCATCTTGGTGGAGTTGGAGTGCAGGCAGATCTGATGCTCTCCAGGGGTGTGGGAGGTGAACGTGAAGCGGCCCTCGGAGCCGTACTGACGGGACAGGATGATCTGGAACACACCGAGACCAGGAGCTTTAGGTTGCCGTGGTGAGTGACACACTGGGTGTCATGGCGACACCTTGGCTCTGAGCTCACCTTCGTGTCTGGATCCTTGATCTCGACGTGCATCCCGAGGCCAGGGGTGGAGGGGAGGAAGGAACCGGCCTGTTTGTCCCAAAGCTGGGTCCGGTATTTTCCTGCCAGATACAGAACACCCCACAGCTCTTAAAGGGACAGTAGCGTGAATTTGTTACTTGGACATGGTATATTTCTGGGTTTAAATCAATAAATCTGAATGATTCCCATTACTGACTATGTTCTTATTGAACTTGAGCAACTGAGCATTGCTCAGTTTGTCAGCAGGGGACGAGTTAGTGTCTATGTTCCAACAAAAATATCAATTTAAGTTCATGGTGGTATTTCTAGTATTTGAAGTTATTTTGAAAATATTTTCTATCATTAAATAGTAGACTTTTTTTAAAACTTGAAGATCAGTAGTTGGGGTGTTTTAGCCAATGTTCTGACCTCTGGTTATGGATTCTCCTCTCTCTGTGGTTAAAGTGTCACCAGTCCAGCTCTGTTGT